TGTAATTTTGCAGCGTTACTTGATGCCCACTGTTGTGTTCGTGGAAGTAAATTACTTGTCAGCCGTTCTGCATCTCATGCATGAACACGTGTGAACACGTAAAATTTGACGTAACCCCGCAACCAGAGTAGCTGGAGTGCTGAAACTTTTTGAGCGCTACCCAGGATCGTGTTTGACCAACTGCAGGTAAGAAAGCATTCACGTTGCCACTCACGTACGAGCACGTGAAATTTGACGTAACTCTGCAACCAGAGAAACTGGAGTGCTGAAACTTTCTGAGCATTGCTCAGGGCCGAGTTTGAGTAACCACAAGCGAAGAAAGCATTCACTTTACCATTCACGTACGAACACGTGAAATTTGACGTAACTCTGCAACCAGAGCTGCTGGGACGCTGAAACTTTCTGAGCGCTACCCAGGGCCGTGTTTGACCAACCGCAAGCGAAGAAAGCACTCGCGTTGCCACTTGCGTACGAGCACGTGAAATTCGACGTAACTCCGCAACCAGAGCAGCTGGCGTGCTGATACTTTCTAAGCGCTACCCAGGACCATGTCTGAGCAACTGCGGGCGAAGAGAGCATTCACGTAGCCACTCACGTACGAACACGTGGAATGTGACGTAACTCTGCAACCGAAGCATCCGGAGCACTGGATCTTCTGGGTATAAATTGGGAGTCATTGTAATAATTTCTAACAGTTGTTGTGGCCAGTCCCAACTCTTTTAGTTAGAAGCATCTGCCAGAAAGAACGTACCGCTGGCGAAAAAAGCCTGCGGAGGGAACTGCGCAAAAAACGCATCCTCGTACCGACAGCCGGTACGCTTTCTACTAGGTTGTAATTGCCCAACTCACCTCAATTTGGCTTGGCCGGGTCGGATGTCAAGTTGCGATGACTGTGAGGGTAGAGAGGCGGAAAGGTGCAGGGGTGAATGGGGTGAGGGGGGAGGGAGGAGGTGATGGTTTACGGGGTGTGTAGTCGAAGGGGAGGGGGGAAAGGGGACGGGAGTGTTCGAGGAAGACGTTAGCTGTAGGTAGAAGGTGGAGACGGCGGAATTTACCGATAAGAGGGATGGTCGCACAGATTTTTAATACTGTGCATGGGACCTGGTGCTCAGAGGAAGTTAGCAACTTTTTATGCGACACATGAGACGTTCCCTCGACGATGAAACATAGTGGCACAATTTTCGCTAGTCGAACTCAAGCCTGGAAACAAGTGTATGTTGGACGATTAACTTCCCTCAGCAGGCAGGTTCGTGCCGAGCACAAAAAAAAAGATCCCCTTCCCGCGCACGAGGCTCGTCCGTTTTCAGTCCGTAGTATCTGCAGGCAACATCTTTCTAGTCAGTAATCTCGCACTTTACGACATCTGAGACCTGAACTACCAGCTCGTCCTCACCGCCTCTGCTGCCCCGCGTCCCTTTCCCAGTGATTTTGAGTGATGAACTAAGCAACCGGAGCAATTTCCACTGTGAATTTACAGCTGACGCCCGGGCACTGCGATTGTTAAGCCATCGATCGGCTGTTCTTTGACTGTACCAGCTACAGCTTCGGGCCATCTGCGCAGCAGCCGATGCTCGCATTGCTGTCGTTGTTCGTTGTGTTGTGTTCACCCCCGTTGCTTTGCTTTCATGCTCCTTCTTCTGCGGCGCATTGCTGCTAAACTGCTTCTTGTCCCTGCAATCCCTTGGGTTTGCCTGTGGTACGCGAGAAAGACTGTGCCTCTATTGAAGATTTTTTTTTTTTCGGAAATAGATGCAGAAGTTTTCAGACGGCAAAGAATTGCAGCGTAACTCAGTAGTGCAATGGCAACGCGCACCGTGCCGGAATACGACGAGGAGCTGAATCATGTGGTGAGCGCTGAACCCTTTTTATTATGCGTTTTTTGCAGCTATGCAATGCAGAAAACGCGTATTGACGAGGGGTTGCCTGTGTGTACGTGTGTCTGTGCGTCTATGTGTGCGTCTGTCACGCACTTTCATCTCGGGACCTATAAAAGCTGCGGGGCTGAAATTTCGGGAACTTAATCTACATGCACTTGCCGGCCCCAATCCCCAAAATGGGCCCAACACCCGCGTGTTACCCGCGTACGGGCCCGCCAAAATTTTTTTCGGATAAGTTCATGACTCGGGGATCTGAGAAGCTAGAACGCTGAAATCTTATGGCAATGTTCCTCGTCCAAGTAGGTATTAACGAGTTCAAACCCTGCCACGAGTAAGCATGGTACCTACGTACGGGCCCTTGAAAGTTCCTTCCGGGTAAGTTTCT